GTTACTTGTTCCTTTGTTTATTTAACTAAGGGTTGAATTCACCAATCTTTCCATGTGGGATCTTTTTGTGAAAAGTCCCACATTGAAAGATGAGTGAAATTCACAAGGCATACTTCCTTATAAATAGTCATGGCATGGCTTGAGAATTCTTTGCTTGAGTGGGAGTTAAAAAGAGCATTCCATAATTTTTGGGAAAACTCTTAAACTCATATATATCACTCGGGTTTTGGTCGGACCTTGCTAACCCCAAGGTAGCGGACCTTAAAGTTATGTTCGCCTTTTGTTGGTGGATACAGTCGGAGGCACGACGCTTGACGTGCTCGTAGCTTTCAAGTAAGAGCCCCGGTTTTTGGGCGAAGCTCGCTTCGAGGGTAAGATACGTTATCTTTTCTTTGTGATTATTTATTTATGCTTTATGATTTTAATTATTGTGAGTGGTTCCTCGGGTCGGGGTTTGTTTCCGCGGTGAGTCGGACTCACCAAACCCCAACAACAATTGATTACTTCACAAAGTGGGTAGAAGCGCAATCATACGCTAAACTCACTGCAAAACATGTAGCACTCTTTGTCGAAAGAAATATTATTTGTCGATACGGAGTCCCACATGAAATGATAAGTGACAATGGAACTCACTTTCAAGCCGAATGTGAAGAATTGTTACAAAAATATAGCATTCAACATCATCATTCTTTCCCCTATAGACCTCAAGCAAATGGAGCAGTCGAGGCAGCTAATAAGAATCTAAAGACTATCATCGAGAAAATGACGGAAAATTATAAGGATTGGCATGACAAACTTCACTTTGCATTGTGGGGTTATCGCACGTCAATTCGCACATCAACAGGAAATACGCCATTTTCCTTGGTATATGTAATGGATGTCGTACAACCTATTAAATTAGAGATTCCATCTCTACGCATCGCGTTAGAGAGTAAACTCGATGAAGTTGAATGGACTAGGGTAAGATATGAAGAGCTAATTCTACTCGATGAAAAACGACTAGAAGCTCTACATCACAATCAGTGTTATCAAACTCGTATGGCTAGGCATTTTAATAAGAAGGTCAAGACAAGGAACATCAAAGTAGGAGACTTGGTGTTAAAAACATTAAGGAAAAATGTTTTAGATCCAAGGGGAAAATATAGACCTAATTGGTCTGGACCCTACATTGTCAAAACAATCCTGTCAGGAGGTGCAACAAAATTAACTGATATGGATGGCAATGAGTTCTCGAACATGACAAATCTTGACCAACTTACAAAATACTACCCATAATTACTTGAGTAGGATACTCAAGAGAGCTACGTTTGGCCTGATTCCTTAAGAAAGGATACGTACGTAACCCTTTACGGGTGCGGCCACTTTATTTTTCAAGAATCTCGCATCCCAGAATTAATTAAAAATTTGACAGAAGATCGGCGAAATATCGGCGTCGCAGAAAAACTTCTGGCGCCAGCCGATGACCGTTAGCACCAGACGAAGACACCGTCGCCTGACGCCAGACTGCCGTGGCCTGCGCCAGTCTCGAAATTGCGGCACCAATTAACAGTTAAAATTCTGGGAATATTTCGGTGTTTTCAGAAAATTTTCGACTTCCGTACTCGAAAAATTTTCTGGAAAATTAATTTTTTGGTTTTCATTGCTTTAATAAAAATAAAATTTAAAGTAAATAATTTAATTAAAAGCTGAAATTTCATTAATAAAATAAAATTACATTATTGATGGAATTTAAATAATGCTTAAATAAATTAACTTTAATTAAAAAAAATAAACTAAGTCTAATAATTGAAAATTAAGCAATGCTCTTAATCTTCTTTATCTTTCCTAGCCCTTTTCTAATTTTTGTCTGCTTCTTCCTCCTCATCCATAACCTTAGCTAGTAGGCATCCTTTAGAGGACCTACATTTAATCTTGGAGTAGATAATTTCCCCTTCAGCTAGGATTCCATGCTTCTTTTCTACCCAAGCTTTTTTTTCTATGGTGTCATCTTTCCTTTTTCCCTTATCTGATCTTTTGTAGTACTTTTCTTCCTAGGCATTGTAGGTGTTTACTCTTTCACCTAAGCGTTCCTTAGCAGGAATCACCCTGTCACCTAGACGACTCTTCACATCAGTTTTACTCTGATTTATCTTCAAGTCCTTTGAAGGTTTCTTCAGCAGCCACTTCTTCACATCATTGGGCAAGGAAGGAGGAACCTTTTGGGTAATTACTTCCCATAGAGGTCTGGCGCTCCAATAAGCATCAAATTTGTCTACTTCCCGGGAGACAGGGAGGACGAAGATCTCCAGAAGGAATAGTCTGAAGTAGGACTTATTGCCTTTTTACCCTGCAGGGATAATAATAAGTCATACGGGACAAGCTTGGAAGACGGCAGAATGGTTGCTTGTTGACACCAACCATCCTTTCTATTTTCCACCAAGGGATGACCCACTTGATGGCAAAATTGCAGGATTCGAAGACCCTCTTCCATTCGTGGCGCCCCATCTTAGAGAAGCGCTTCTTCCTCCTCACGAAGCAATTTGGAGTATACTTCTCAATGTTGTCTGGAGGGCTAATTAATTCCAACCTTTCCATTAGCCACATCTGTAAAAAAAAAAAATTGCAATGCAAATAAATTATTATTACTATACAAAAATATATTTTTGATTTCTGTAATTAAAAATATTATTTTTCAACCTGTAATAAAATTAGAGAGCCCCGAAAAGGTGCTTTTGGATTCCTCTTTAATTCATCAAGACCAATCATAGTCTCTCCAACTATTAATGGCATTGGATTTCTCCCTGATTCAATTTGTTCTAATACGGTGGTTATAATTGATTGACCCTCATTATTTTTGCCACTAGTAAGAAAAAAGTGATTAAGCATACAAAATAAGAAAGCCCTTCTTCTATAAATATGAAAAGATTCGGAGTAAGGTTTATCAAAATAATGGCGAGCAGATTATTTCAAATTAACTATGTTGCCATCTACTATTTTTGATAGATCCCTTTCTTTTAAATTGAAGAAGCGTTCAAAATCCTTGTAATAATATGCATCTATCCTAGGGATTACTACAAGATCTATTGCAGGGAAACCTAAAATAGCACCAAATTCTTCCGGCAAAGGGCTAATTTCATCATACCCTATTCTAAAGCAATGGGTATCTACATCCCAATATTCTAGTGCGGTATGAATAAAATCTAAGTCAAGATCTACCCCTTTGATACCATATATACCCCTCAAGTGAAACACATCTAATTCTTTTCTTTCTTTGGCATTAAGAGACTGACACCACTCATGGGTGTAGTTGGTGAAAGACTTGGTGACTAGATACATGGTATTATTTTCTAAAGCTAAGAATTATTTTATCTGCGGAAATTATGAAAAGAACCGGCTGGGCAAGGGGCTATTTATGCACGAAATCGGAACAGTTTTAATCTACGAAGGATTCGGGGTCAGCGCCCTTTAGCGCCAGACGCTGTTATTAGCGCCTAACGCCAAACGCTAAGTGTAGCGCCTGACACTACACCAAAACGCGAGGCGCCAGCTGGCGCCAATGTGCCTCGTCGTACACGCTTTCTAAAAATCGCGTTTTTAACTTATTTCGAGTCTGCTAATGACTTTACGGCTTCCTTATCTTTTTCTAAATATTCATTTATTCCTTTTTAATATAGCTATTATATTAATTATATTATTTTTTGGATTTTATTTAGACTAATTTCCGAGTTTTTTATAAATCCAATATTTTATTTGACTTTTCCTTTTTTCATTTTTTTTCTTTTTGGGGGAGAAAGTCGGGTACCCTCCATCAATAATAAAAATGACGGAATTTTTCGCGCAAAAATTATTTGTCACACGTTCTTGCACACACAAACATGTACATAATAATAATATTAAATAATAATAATAATAATAATAATAATAATAATAAATGAAAAAACATGATAAATAAAATAAAGGAAAAATGGAAAAGAATAATCCCACCTTTGTCCGATCTTCCGAAAACAATCCCACCTTCAATTAAACTAAAAATAATCTCACCTTTGACCCTCATCTTCTTTTACTGGTCCTTTTGACTTATAACCGGTTTTACAGGTTTTATTTTATTTTTATTTATTTTTTTACTTTTTTTTAATTAATTCTCTCTTCTCTCAGCTCCACAACCACCACTGACACCACCACCACCAACAACCCCACCATCGCCACCTTAGAACACTCATCTCATCTTCTTCCTACTACTGCCCACTAGTCCACTTTCAAATCCACCCATAATCCCTCCCTTTAAACACCATTACCCCCCATAAAACCCACATCTAACCAACCACAATAACCCTGCCCATCCAACCACACATCAACTCTCCCTCCTTGGCTCCTTGCTGATACCAAGCACCCTAATTGTTCTTGCTGCAACTCGACTCATCACTTTATCAAATCACACAAAATCAAATTAATCATACAATTTTTTTTTTTTTTTTTTGAAACAATTAATCATACAATTCATCCAATTAAATACATTTATTTTTGTAATTAAGGAGATAATTTAGAATAATTGAAGGCAAAGCTCCAAAACTAAAATGTTTTTTCTTAGTTGGGGTTGACTTGATGGTGTTATGGGGTGCTTTTGGGGATTTTGGTGCTGTTGGTTTGTTGTTGTCGTGAGACAAGGTGGTTTGATGGTGGTTGTCAATTTGTGGGGCAGCGTTGGTATGGTGTTTCTATGGAAGAGGGAGGGAAAGGTGTCTGGGAAGCCATGAAAGGAGGTAAGGGAACAAGGCTGGGAGGGAAAGTATCTTTTATTTAAAATAAAATAAAAAAATTTGACCAATAGAAAATCGACACGTGGCATGCTACCTTCTCCAACAGGTTACTTACCCATCAAAACTGGTCATGGCCTGTTAATAGAAGATAGATGTCAAAGGTGGGATTATTTTGGGAATATTCAAAGGTGGGATTATTTTGAGAAGATCGAACAAAGGTGGGATTATTAGTTACAATTTTTCCTAAAATAAATTCATAATAGTATGTACATACAAAATATGTCTAAAATGAGTCTAACTAAAAGGCAAAGTTCTATACAAAGTCAAATAAATAAATAAAAAGCACAGGAACAAACTACGGCGTCGGGGGATGTAAACCCATCATCGCATAAAACTCCGCAGTACGAGGAGTAACCTCTCCACCAGCTCCGGCTCCAGCTCCAGCATCAACTCTAGTCTCCGCGGGAGGAGGAAAGCTCAACGTAGGACCCGTCCACCCGAGATCAACCTGAGGCTGAGGCTGTGGAGGCTGCTGCGATGACGAGCCAACCTCGTACATCCCACCACCTCTAAGAGCCGAGGTAGCCTCTCCCTGGCCTACTGGCGCAGCATGTGCACCCTCAGAGGCTGGGCCCTCTACCCGAGCAGCCTCAGAACGTCCACCCCTACCTCCCGAAGTAGTGCGGCGGCGTCTCGAGCTAGACCTCGCCGGATCCCTCCGCACCTTAGGTCTCGTGCGGGTACGAGAAGGAATGGGTTGACCCTGCAAAAGAAATTAAAATCAGAAACATGCAAAATCAAAGCGGTAATGCAAAACATATAAAGGCAAGACTACCTCCTGAACGGCGTCGTCCCGACGGGAGGTAGCCACGTTCCTCATCCGGACAAGCTGGCTTCGGAATGCATCTATACATCGTGCCATCGCCGAAACCACCTCGCACAAGAACTGTTAAAAGAATAAAGTTAGTAAACATGCATGATATATATGGACAAAAGTTGCAAATATACAAGCTTACCCGAGTCTGGTGACGAGGAATCGACCGCTCTAAAAAGCGCTCGTCCTTAGAAGCCGGAGGAATCATCTCCTCAATCGGCCCATATGTCCCCTGATAATGGATAGACATACGGGGTGCACGAACTCAGCAGCATCGTCCTGATAAAGCAAAACAAAGTCAGTGAAGCATCACTTAGAGGCTACTTAAAGAAAGGTAAAAGCTAAAAATCGTACCGCCACATCCTCAGCCAATACAAGAACTGGAGCTAACAACGACAGTAGCTTCTCCACATAGCATCGCCTAGGGATCGTGTAAGATCGCCAAGGGGTACTAGCTCCCTCTGACATGCTCAACAACCTCGCGGCGTTAAACATATGACGTGGTGGAGAAGCAGGAACGACAAAGGTATCGGAGGAATGTTGTCTAGCAACCCTCTCTCCGAGGTACGCAGTCGCTCCATAGGTCCCCAAGAAATAGCGACACTCAGCAGAATACTGCGCGGCTAACCCAGGGACTGCCAGGTCGACCCACGGTTGATACAGCACCTCAGGCTCCTGCAAAGAACGTCAATCAAGCAAGAATCTATCTAAAACATAATGTCAAAAAGACTATAATCATACCGAGATGATCCAATCTCGGACATATGCAGTGGACATCCCCACACGGCGGCTGCCCCAGGAAATGCTAAACGGAAACCTGCGCGGCGACGGTCTCGCCGGCGCTGCAGAAGGGAAGTACTCGTAGAACCAGATCTACAAGAAGCTAAAATTATCAGCAAATGTTAGCTAAAATGCAGAGCTAAACTTTATAGGGAATAAGGTTTACCTCTACGACCCTCCAAAAGCTGGACAAAGCAACATTCGTCCCAAAGGACCAGTGTCGACACGAATCCCTCAGCGCTCGAATGAAATCAGCATAAGCCAAGCTGGCCAGTCATAAGTCCCGATCCAGTGCAGATCGCGGGCGGCGGGAAGGTAGTTAAGCAGTGCCCTACTACCCTTGTCAGGGGAGAACGTCCCTGACAACAAAATAAGTGCAAAGATGCGCACCCGCTGCTCTCGGGTGGTCGCACCATCGTCCAGAGCCGCTGCTAGAGTCGAGCAGCGAATCCCCCTAGCGCTGAACTAAGACGACACTGCCTCAGCTTAAGCCCGAACAGCAATCGGACCCAACAGCTCCTCGACCTAAGGGGAAAAGACGTCGATCCCACTGTCGAACGACAATGGCACAGAACTAAACTCCAGTCTTGTGATGAGACTGAAGTCGGTAGGAGTGATCATCATCTCACCCCAAGGAAAGTGGAAAGTGTTGGTGGTGTCCCGAAAGAACTCCACCAGAGCACAAACTACATGGTGACCCCCGCTAGAGGCAACCATTGCCTCGGAGGTCTCGTACAGCACAGTAAGACCGCAAGACTCCCATAGAAGTCTCGTCTGATCATCTCTGGCAATGTACATCTTGTACAAATCGCCCAAGCCGTCACAGCCGGAACCATGACAGCGCGTCCTCCCAACAGTGACACCCCGTCTCACCCTTTCAGAAATGTGATGGACGGAGGAAAAGTAGAAGGTCCGCTCATCCCACTCGGGGAGTCGACCAAGCGAAGTGGACGGCTCGGCGTCGTCCTTCACGGGCTCATGCTCCCGTCGAATGTCTCGGGACCGTGAACCGGAACCTCGTTGTCTAGCCATGGTACATTGTGCAGAATATTCATAAATTAAGGTTCTATAGTATCTAAGGTTCGCCTAGCCGCATGATACTAAGTTCGCAAAAAAAAAAAAACAGAGTACGTAGTACTAAAAACAGAGCACAAATTCAAATTGAGCATGTACGACATTTTTCAAGTAATCAAACAATTTCTTGCAATACTAAAGTAATTATTGTGACAAATTGGACAAGAATTGCTAGCAAAAACATCAAGAACGGGCCACATTGTATTCCCGACCTTAAGGAATCCAACAATGACAATTCGTTCATTTCTTCACCAAATTGAGTCAAACAAGTCTCAAATTACTCCCAAGGCAATATATAAACATAATCAAGCAATTTCATGGCATAAAATTTGACAAACAAGGAGAATTAAGCATTTTAAGTTTTGAATTTTCATGAAATTTGAGAATATACCCATGCAAAATTCCTTAAAACCGGTGTGAGTTTGAAGAAAACTTACATAGATCGGGAAAATGGATGGAATAAGCTTTGATTTGCAACAAATTTGAGCGAATTTGGTTGAGAAACGAGCAAGAACGAAGCAAATGAATTTCTGGGGATTTTCGAGCAACAAACGCGACAAGCAGCAGCGAAAATGAAGAAGAAAAGGGTATTTAAGGAATACCCTATTCTGGCGCCAAGCGCTAGACCTTGGCGTCAATAGATAGGCTTGGCGCCTTGCGCTAATCTAAGCGTCTGGCGCTACGGCCAGTTATGTGGCGGTGACGTTATTTCAGCGGCGCCAGAATGTTCAGCCACTTAGTACGGTTGTTCTAATTTTTTTGCAATATATTTTGGGTTCCTTTGTACGCCAGTTAGCCCCTCTAATTAATTTGACACGATTTTTAGTAATAGGCTTGATTGCACAAACTGATCGACCTAATGAAAGATCGTCTCACTTAGCTTAAAGCGCCTAAGCATTGGCTCATTGACAAAAGGCACCGACATACTGGTTCATTCACAAAAGGCACTGACGTATTGGTTCATAATTCAAAGGGCACCGACATACTGGTTCATTCGCAAAAGGCACCGACATATTGGTTCATAATTCAAAGAGCACCGACATACTGGTTCATTCGCAAAAGACACCGATGTATTGGTTCATTAATTCAAAAGGCACCGACATACAGGTTCAAGCAGCAAAAGCGCCGACGTAAAGGCATAGCGGAAGTAAAGTTCAAGCGAGCTTTTAAAGATCGACAAGCGGAGATCTTCGGTAATTTCCTTGGAAAATTATCACAACAAATGAAGATAGCTTCAAGCGAGGATATCTTCGACAGCATTCCCTAGATTGTGGAGAGTTGTCAAAAACAACTGAAGGTGATTTCAAGCGAATTTGTCTTCGATCATGTTCCCTTAGACGTGGAAGATGGTCACAAAGCAGAAGAAGATTGTTTCAAGCGAAGCAATCTTCGATAATGTTTCCTGGTTTGTGGAGTATTATCAAAGCGGAAGAGGATCGTTTCAAGTGAAGCAATCTTCAATATTGGAAGCAGTTACAAGCGTAGCGGTTTTCAAGCGGGATGGCATTCTCTTGGCAGGAGGTCATCAAAACAGTAAAGCAGCAGCAAATCGGTTACTCTTCAGAGACGTGTGCTCGACGGTGCAAGATACGCATTTCTTAACTCTCTTATCTGTTTGACTAATGCTAGTTTTGCAGGTATCGGCGTTACAAGAGTGATTTAGGATCGCAGAACGTTCTGAATCATTAGCCGTCCCTATCGATACTTTGACTTTTGTTTTCGAAATTTGCGTTTCTCCAAACTCAGTCAAAGTGGGGGCTTCTGTAGACACCCATTTGTGTCTCCCCAAAACCAAACCTGGTGATGAGTACCTTTCACGTCGAATAATAATCGAATAAAGTGAAAGTGTGGAAAGTTTAGAGTTGCGGATAGTTTTAATTTCTTTTCTCTTCTCTCTGTTTTTGGAAACCTATTTTAAGAAAACAGCCAATCCAGTTTGGTTGGTCCATGATATGGGTCCAATAATGGTGTAGTTGGATAGGGCTTGAAAAGAGCTTTCCAACGATATATTATAAGCCCAATTCCGATGAATATTGAGAAAGTTATGGCCAAATTACTTAACTGGGCCCGATTTGGTTTTTATATGCAGCCCAATGATCTAGAGGATGGCCTAATATGGATTTATCACTCCTAATGCAATTAGGAATGGTTTTAGTCTTCTAGATTCTTCTAGAAGTTTCTTTTCATTCCTAATTCAATTAGCATTGATAAATTGACTTTTGTTGACTTTTCAGAGTTTTAATTAAAATCAAAGAACATTTTTGAGGAGAAATACGATTTTATCCTCCTGTACGGCAATTTCTATCTGATTTTAAGAAAACGCGTGATTTTCAGAGTCAGCGCCAAACGCCAGTTGTAGCGTCTGATGCTATGCTTGGCGCCTGGTGCTAGCTTTAGCGTCAGGCGCCAAGGTCAGCTTTTGGCACTAACTTGGCTGATTTTTTCTATAAATAACGTCGTAAAAATTCCGTTTTCATTCACTAACTCTCACCAAGATTCTCTTGATTACTCTCTCTCTCTCTCTTCTAAACTAGCCTTTTCTCAAATATAAAAATTCCGCATTCATTAGATTTAAAAACACCTAGCCACATTCGAAGTTGTCTTCGCCCTAAACGTGAAAGGTTTAATTTCTGAGGGTTAGGTTCCAAATCTCTATTATATTTATTTAATTTAATTGTTGTTTATTTATTTTCCTTGAAGTTACTAACGTGTATATTTTGTTATTAGAAAGAGGTACGAGGCATCAAAGTAAGTACTTTAATGGTTTTTATTGATGTTATGATATAGAGTTCATGCTTAGGTTGTTATTATGATATTCCTAGTATCATGTCTAGGGTAAATTTAATACTAAGTATGATTGTTATGATGCTTCCTATATTCTTCCTAATATTTATTCATGTTTGTATCATGTTAAGGCTTAATATATGATTTTTATTGTTTAGTGACATGCTAGGGTTTGTTATTAATCTTGTTAGTATCATGCCAAGGATCTTGCTATTATTATGCTTTAACATTATTATGATTATTTTTAATTATTATTATGATTATAATTTATTATGATTATTATGTTGCTTGATTTTTATTGTCATTGTTTGATCACACCTTTTTATGCATGTTTAAAGGGAATTGGTATTTGTAATCATGATTAATAAGATAATTAATAATCTTGGTTTAGAGTTAATTTTGATTATAATTCAAGTGATCGCTAATAATAGATTTATTTGTGCATTAAGAATCAACCAACATAGATTAAACAGGTTTAGGGCTAATCTTGTGGATTGCATGTTAGTCAGAAAGCGCACATCAATACGATCAGAATAAAGTAGAGGTCTATTATTAGGGAAGGTTCAATCTCTTTTAGGTTGGATTTGTACCTTCATCCCCGAACCCTATTTGGTTTAAGACCTTATGGAGTTGACGATCTCTTGGATCGTTAAGGGGTGTAACCTTCACCTCGTGAACGGTTTACAAGTTCCTAACACTTGTTAGCGACTCTTTAACTCTATCTTCTTTCGCTTTGGACGCCACCGTACTTTAGTGTATGATCACAGTGGGGTTCGAGCTAAGGGTTAACGCTTGAAATATTCCCTACACTAACTTTCTCTTACAAATATGAAAAATCTCTTTGATTACACAAAGGTGTGTCATATTGCAAAAAGCTAGCAAGACCCATTTCATGTATTGGTTCTTACACGGGAATTTTTAATTACTATCTAAATAAATATCAACTCATGAACAAAAAAAATTTATAAGCCACTAAATCACTGATCGAGCATGCATGGAGTAATCCTCTCATTTCATAGTTGATAATAGTAGTCTTCAACTCAGTTCTTAACTTAACAAAAGAGTATGCAAAGAGATGTACAAGTTGACCAAGCATCATTTTTTTTTTTGTTTATGACTGATAAAGTGGAGCAGGTATTTTTGAAAATCAGAGTTCCTTATCAAAGAAAGAGGGACTTTAGAACAGGATGATGTTGGACCTTGGAACCACCACGATCACTATAAAAATGTAACCTTGTGGAATAGCCAACATTACTTACCTAGTTATGCACCATAAAACTGTCACAAGCCTTGTTTAATGTCTAACAGTTGGTAACAAGCTATACTAAGTTCACACAACTTGGGCAATCCCAGGTTTGTCTAAACCTAAATTCAAAGGCTGGGGACTAGCCTAAACTCGTGGGAAGCATATGATAGAATTCTTATATACATTTTTCCAAAGAGAATTTTGTATTAAGATATGTTAGTTTCTATATAATATTGCAAATATGTAAAGCTTTCTTATAACTAAACCTGTTCAACGGGTCGGGCCGGACAGGGCTTTATCTAAAATGGGTCGGGCCGGACAGGGCTTTATCTAAAATGGGTCAGGCCGGGCCAAGCCTAATCCAAAATGGGCCAATATTGTCCATGGGCCATTAAGCCCGGCCAGGCCCATTTAAAATGTATAAACTATCCAAAACAACCATAAAGTAGACACAATTATAAAGGGCCTTACAAACGCAAAAGTAGGTAAAAGTTTGATGTTATTCGATTAATCATTGAATGGTCTGGCTAAATCAAGTTGGAATTCGTTTAATTTGATGAGAAAACAGTAATTTCCCTGCTTTCGAGTCAGAAAAAACTAATGTCTTACAAGATAATGATAGCCTTACAAACGCATTCAGCAGTTCAATGCATACATTTTGTGCTAGGTCATTTAAAACACAAATCAAATTTGGAACAAATAGATTTAGACAAAAGAACAATTTATCACATAATTAGATACAGTCAGATTGAAAGAAGCCAATAATAATAAGCAACAATCTTTATTAATCGATGGTACTAAATTATTACAATTGATAACTTGTAAAAGTAACCAACAAACGTACTTAATATAACTAATAATATAAAACATCAAAGAATTGAATGATGACTCAACAGATTAAAACATAATCAACCTAATAAAGCACTAAATCGAGTAGATGATGATCAATTAGCATTCAAACTTCAAAAAATATTATATAATTTAAAATTCAAGCACAAAATCAATAGATTCGTACATTATTGAGAGCGGCGAGCAAGAATACATAAATTGGCATAAAAACAAACGAATTTAGAAATTAATACACGAAAACATACCTTGGTAGTTGAAGATTAAGAGCGGCGAGCAAGAAGAAGGAATTTATTAGCTATAATTTGGGAATTTTGGAAGATTATAATCTGGGAATTTTTTTAGGGTTCATAATTTGGGGGAAATAGGGAATTTTAAAATTGACGTTAGGAAGTTTTAGAAACATACAGAAAAATTAGGATACAAAAAGCTTCTTAAGTGTTACCCAATTTCAGCCATTTTTAACTTAGACCCAAACCTTTAAAAACCCATTATTTAATAGCCCTTTAAAAGCCCACCCCATTTAAATGTTGGATGGGTAAAACTCTTTTATAAAAGGGCTGGACTAGGGCTTTAAATGGGCCCCTAACCCATTGAACAGGTCTACTTATAACCAACAATTTAGCTAAACATTATAACTTTCTACGTAATAAGACTAATAACCAACCTTAAAAGTATCAATTTCAAAAAGAAAAAGTTCTGAATAAATAAAAAAAAATTGTAACCTGTGTTCCTGGGTTCCTCTAAATGTAACAATAATAGCATTCAGATCCTTAGCAACCCCAACATATGCCTGCATTAGACAGAATAATGATATTAGAGAGAAGTTAGGAACTGATAAAAATTATGTGAAGCATATAGGATAGATAAAGATGTGACTACGCACCTGCAAGCAATGCTGGACATCTGATTTCAAATCCCTATTAACAGGAAACGATTTCTAATTAAGAAATATACATACCTAAACATAATGCCCACTAGAGATAATAATCTGAGAAAATAAAACATGTAAACAGAAATTTAATAATAGTAAGTCAAGAACCTTTGTCATTCCATTACATCTTGAGCAAGTCCAGGTAAATAGTTCAGTCAAGTCTGACTCATACACCTGTGAACAACACAAAATTAGAATCCATCTACAGATTAGCCATAAAATGCAACCTCAACAACATTACGAAATCAGCTCAATGTCAACTCCATCACAAGACCAAATTTATTAATTTCAATACTACTAATAAAAACATATTGCAAGTAAAGCATGACCACTGCCAAAAAAATCAAAAACATCATACACTAAAATAAGTGTTTAGCACTCATAATTTATAAACACAAGTTGACCAGCTTTTTAAATTTATAGTGGGCTATATCTATTCTTCATTCAGTTGTTAGCTTTCACGCATTTATAAAAACTAGTAAACTCAAGCACCTAATATTCTCTAATTTCCATCACGAAATCAACTTATTAGTACAAAGTCAAGAAAGAACAATTATACAATTTAGTACTACTAATTTCATTTGGAATCAAAATTCTATAAAAAAATGTCAGGGAAAAGAAACCCCTCTTATGTACGTGAAGAACAAAAATTATAAATTGAGAAAAGAATTGACTAAAGCAAACCAAAAGAATTATAAACCTATATTTGATGCATAGATATAAAGGACGAATCAATAATTAAATTGAAAAATCATATCAGATCTGACAAAATCACAAGTAACATTTGGTTTTCAACAACCAAAGATGAATTGAATTTGAATAAAACTAACCAAAAATTAATGAAACAACCAATTAAATATAGTCGAAAGGAACAAGAAGCTGTCATTCCGGCTTGATTCTTTTTGCTTCATTTCTTACTGTTTCTCAAAATCTCAAGTTCTCTTTAGAAATTTAGTTATAAATTTCCAATTCAATCGATTGAATATAAACTTCTTTTAGATTTGCACATGAAATCTGGTTATACTATTTATTATAATCAAATATTTCCTTAGATCAAAAGTAATTTTCGCAAAATGAAGCATAACGATATATATAAATATAATAAAACCCTATGCTTCCTGTTATTCAAAAATCAAACAATACCTGATCATAATTTTGTGATAATGTTAAAAAATTCCTAAAAAAAATTAATTAGACTTCAAATTAAAAGCGAAATTCGAATTCTAAAATGAAAAATGTACCTTAGAATTCACGGCGGCATAGAGAATGACAAATTTGATTACAGTTCAAAGTGAGTAGAGAAATTTCCCCAGCAATAATTAGGGGAATTACAGGGAGAGTTAAGATCTGGATTAAGATTTTAAAATCTATGAATGTCACGAAGGAAGGAAAGAGAGATGAAAAGTTAGGGTTGAGAACTTGAGTAGTCAGAATTTTTTTTATTGGTTTAATTTTTTCCCCTTAAATTGAAAATGTGGGCTGAGTCACGAGGCATTAATTGCATTCACGTGCGTGACATGTGCTTGTATTCTCGACGCTTTATAGCGACGAAATTTGCTTTTGTCACTTAAAAGCGTCGTAAAACGCGGGATGAAAAATTTATCTGTTGACGCCCCTTACTTAGCGTCGAGGCAACAGCATCGAAAAAACATTCCTTTTGTAGTAGTGACACACTTGTGCAAGTTCGGTTAGAGCTACGTTCGGCCTGATTCCTAACGGATACGTAGCCAACCTCACATTGAGGTGCGACCACATTCATATGCATGATCGAGTCAAAGAATATCCAATGCTTAATCCTATGACCCTATTCATCTAGAGCAAGACTTGGGGGCTTGAACTCACATCGTTTATCCTACCTATCCTAAAGAGTTACCATCTCGACTCTTCTCACATCTATTTCCCTCACCATAGCCATTGCAACCTCACCTATTATCACTTTCACACACGTATTTTTCACACATACATAGCCATATCAGCTTTCCCTTAGGAACCTTTTATCATGAAATCTTGTTTTCCTACCGCGCATGCTTCATCATTTTCAAGACAACATTCATTAGAAAAAACGTTGTATACTTGCTTAGCTTCCTGACCTGAGCAATGTTCATTGTTTCATGCATCGCATAATGTGCTGAGCAACATTTATATATTAATGATTTGTAATCATACTGTAGACACCAAATTTTGATCCCCTATTTTCCATATTTTTTTTTTTACTTTCAATTCACTAATAAATTTTGTGTTATTTAATAATTATAATAATAAGATCTGATTTTGCTAACGACAACCGCAATAATTAGACATAAGAGACGAATTCAAGTAGTGTTTATTTATAATTTTGGAGTATACAAAACTCTTACAATTTGTACTCCTAATTTACGAACAAGATACGAGATTAATTCGAAGCATAACTCGAACCTTGTACACTCCGTACCGAGAACTTCAAGTCGTCATTTATTCATGATTATGAAAATCATTAACGCCATTAGTAGCACCACTAACGCCATGATCAAAGCTAAATATAAATTTAGCACTCGAAAATGCTCGTCGAACGGAGATGGAGCTTGACGATTTTGGTTGCCATGAGCCATGGAAACCGAAGAGGAAAAGGCAAGGGGTGTGTTTTTTGAGTAAAGGGTGATTTCGGATAAGAGAAATCTCCCTCTATAAGGGATAAATCTTATCCGTATTTTTGTCGTATCCCAATTGTATAATCGTTTAGTCTAATAATAGTAGTAAGTGTATCTTTTAAAAATAACATAAAATAAAAACAATGTTGTTACCAGTGACATATGTAATAATCATGTCGTTTGACATATCCTAGTCAATAGTATCAAATTTTGACCCTTTAGTCTGTACATTTTTAAAACCGTGACCATTTCTAAAGTATCACTTTCTAACCCCTAATAAATTTTTAGTACTACTGATTCTTTTTTATCCTATTGTTATTATAATTATTCTACTATTTTTATATTATAATTGGGTTCATCATATGTTATGTAAATAATTGTTACATTGTTGTTGGATTTTGTTTCACGATATGCCTAACCCATTAACATATTCATGGCTTTTGTTCCTTTATAATTTTATTATTTTTTTTAAAAAAAAAATAGGAAAAATACAAATCATAAAGGACAAATTAGCATATTTTGATTATTTAAAAGAATGCAAAGCATGCATGCATTACACTAAGCTATTACCAATGCTAACAAAGTCACGGTTTTCCCCCCTCCCCAACTTATCATTTTTATTTTTTTTATTGTGTACTTTAATTTTTTTTATTTTTCACTCATAAAATGCATTTTTGTTAGATTTCATTTTGTTAATAACGTAATGCTACTACCTTATATTTCATCTTCTTCCTTCCTACTCAACTTCCCACCAAAACACCATTACCACTTACCTTCATGAGTCATCTTTTCTCTGTTTCACACACTCAGAAATAACAAGTGTAAGTATGCATGCTATTTCTCTTCCGGGTTATTGCAATGACGACAATATTTGACAGTAAAAGAGTGGCTCCAAGCAAATATACCTCTTCCATTACCACTCATTTGATATGTCAAATCTCTACAGAAAAAGAAAATGGTAAGCTATGGTTGTAATTTAGCGACGAGAATCAGAAAATGGTGTGATATGACAATACGTTGTATCACTGAGCCGTGTTTCTTCCCAAACGGTAAGGTGATATGACTATCCACAATCAATGGCAAACAACTTTTTTCCTTTTTATTTTCTGATAAGTGGGTTGTGTAATAGTCGTATTTTGCTATGGTAAGTTTAATATACGAAAAGTAAGTACACTCTTCAAAGTAAAGTAGTACCAATTAACCGTTGTATGCAAATTATATTAGTACTTTTAATTATTTTTAGTCATTAATAATATTGTATTTTGTTCAGTCAATAGTAATTAAGTTTTACATTAAGTAGCAGGCTATTCTATTTGTCCTCTACCTCATTAAGACGATTTTTGGTTATAATTTCTACCTAACTCTTGTATTCGTACGTATTTATTTTGTATAACAGTATATTCTCTGTATTTTGTATTTTAGCTCCCATTTGCTCCCATATATATATCACCCCACTCTTCACGAAAGGGAAAAAAATATCGAAGAGAATAGTTAAGAAAGGAGCTAAAAAAAAACTCATAAAAGAAGTCTAAATTATTTCAGCACTATAATTAGATAAAAAAAAAAAAAAAAAAAAGGTAATCGATCATTTTAAATCGATCATTTTGACACTAAAAAAATTAAATCGATCATTTTGACACTACCTTGACTAATTCCTCAAGATAGCTACTCAAAGCCAAAGGTAATATCTTCTTTCTTTTCATTTGTGATTTCATATTATTTTTTACATAAATTTACTAACTTTTCTACTTTTGTGTGTTCCATAACCTCCTAGGGCACTATACGTGTCGGTTTCCTAATTTGGAAACCAAGTAGAATTTGACTGACCGCGAGCGAGTTTGAGAGTGAGTATATATGGTTTGTTTGATTTTTTTTCTTGTATGTATCATCCTTATGTAGAGTATGAAATGGAAACAATGATAATTGTACAAAATGCATAAGGAAGCTCCAAAGAATGAATGATGGAATTCTAGCAAGATAGCATTTTCGACTACTTTTTTTTTATTATGTAAAAAATCGTTATTCATCATAAAATAAAAAAATAATTTTTTTACAGTAAGCTTATGTATTTAGGAGTGTATGAGACTTGGAATTTTATAAAAATATTAACCAACTCACAAAAAATCAGACATGAAGACATAGTAACACCACAAATTTCTTACTACAGGTCTGTCTATTTGCCAATTTTCGACCAATATCCTTTTTTAATAATAAAATTTGAATTGAATATCTAGACAGAATATTCCTTAAGCTTTGTAAGTTGGGGTCACACGTTCCCATAGGATAAATACTTTATTTTTTATGATTTTTACAAAACAAGGTATCAAAATGATAAACTGATTTGAGGTTGTTTTCCCCAACCAAGCATACTCTTTTTATTTGGCATATCAAATGACTTCTAAAAAGGGGGAATTTTCTACAGAGAATTTATATGCTTGTCCTTAACATACCATTAAAAGGATCATGCCAATTTCGAAGTACTTTGACCATTATCACCCAATTCCCCATGAACGTCCCAAACCAGAGTGTTTTTTAAAGAAAATTCATTATCTTTCATTTCAACAGCTAGATGAATCCCAATTTTTGATATGTTATATAAGACTTATATACATTTCCAAAGACCTATCATATGCTCAAATCCGACTGTTAGAACATGAGTTATGGTGTCCGAAATAGAGACACTTTAAACCCTTAAGCTTTTTAAGGAAAAATGGAATGAACATTATTATATAATTTGTGTCACCCTATCATGTATACCTCTGGTTTTTTTTTTTAGTCATTTGAGGAAGTTATAAATTACTCATGCTTCAAGTTGATATTAATCCAAAAAAGAGACACATTTGTATCAATTTAAGACTAACACTTTTTCTTTTTTTTTTTTTATTTAAAAAAAAAAGTCTTCTTCATTCTATGGCTATATGAAAGGAGCATTATAAATAATTCATTTAGTTTGGAATAGAATGTCTTATAATTTTTAAATAAATCTTGTTTAAGTTTTAATTCCATCATCGTTCGGAAGAGCAAAATTTCCTTATGCATTTCTAAATAAAGAGACAACTAACTTTTAATTAAGCAAAATATGGCCTTGCATGCTTGTATCATTTCATTAATAAAATAAATCTTTCGAGTTATGGTTTATGGCTTATATTTAAATAAGAGGGTAAAGTTGAATATTCAATCATGATAGGTTATAAGATGATCTATTTGCCGCAGAGAATTATGCTTTTAAAGTTTTATTATCTCTGATAGATCACTTACTTAATCTAACATGATTAAGGTTTTCACATATACTACCTATCATTTAGATTTAAGCCATATAGAATGTCCATTCTGTGTAAGTCAATTTCATACAATCTAAACACATTTCCTTCATATTCTTCTCAAATTCATACCAAATAAAATTCCTTTTTTAGCACGCTCAAATAAGCCCACACAATCTCTTTCTAGAAGTTGGTCAACCCTAAATAAAGTCGTTAATTGAAACGCATTTTACAAACAAAATCATTCTCCTCAAAGAAACTCCTATGGTGTCGCTGATTCTAGTGACTTCATCAACCTTGATAAATTGACCTCCACCTTGAAAGCAAGATTGCTCAACCTCATTCAAATGACCCTATATGGGTCGACCACCTCTCCTAAAAAAAATTAATATAAACTTTCTTGAAACCTCGTATGAAATTTCGACCATGTATAAATGGACGTTCGTAAGAACTACGTAGGGTTTTGATCCGGGAGTGGATTCAAATCCCACAATGAACGGTACGTAGGGCAACTTTAATGCTCAAACCCACAATATATCGTAAGGTTTAATTCACTTTTATTTTACATTTGAGTGTGATTGACAATGTGGAAATTTTTGTGTTTTTATGCATTAGGAAAAGTATGTGAATAACCATAACCAATTAGCAACGTACTAGTAAGAGCCTGTTCATTAGAACAGAGG